CCCTGCAAGGGGCAGCATGCGCAAGACAAGCCTGGTAAGTCTTCCCAGTTGGTTGGGATGTTCCTGGCTTCAGTCACATTCTGCACCACTCCAGGCTTGTGGCTGAAATCTCCTGCTGTGGAGAGCTGATGAACACACTCTATAGTTAGAGCTGCTTTAGGGAGTCTTCTCTTGGAGTTCTCAGTCTAACTATAGAGAGACCTGGTTCGGATGACAATAACCATAAAGAACATAATCCTCCAAACCCCATCCCATGGCCACTGAGTTGGAGTTAAGGCTAGAGTGACACTCATTGGGGCAGAGTTCTAGCCACCTCTCCCTGGCCACAAAGGAATGAGCCAGGGAGCAGGCAGAACCAGGGCTTCTGGTCTAGTGAGCAAGGGGCAGGAAGAGCTTAGCACCCAGCCAGGAGATAGTAAGCCCAGACAGAACATCCACAGCTGATAGCAGGAGTCAAGACAGATCCCCAGCTCAGGGCAAGAGGCAGCCAGTACCAGGGGCGGCAACTCAACCACATCTCTCCACCCACTTCAGGACAAGGAGCAATCAGGGGCAAACTATCTCAAGGAGCCTCCAGAGTTACCTGGACTCCAACCCAGGTCAATGCCAGAGCCAGCCAGGAGCACAGTGTTTCCCCTGTTCTTTAAGCTTGTTCCATACTGCAGTCTTGCCAGGGTTTCTTAAGCTCTCCCTCCTCAAACTTCAGCTCTGGCCTCAACATACCAATGGAATCTTAAGTACTACACTGTTAGCTGTTAAGCTGACACCCCATCGTTGACTTATGTATAGAGGGGCAGACTACTGTGGCAGCAGCTGTAGCACCGTTCTCACAAAAGGTTTGTGGTATCAGGAGGGAACAATGCTGACAAGATTCTACCAAATACTTAGTTACCACCTCCCCCGTATTAAAAAAAAAAAGTAGAAAAAGGTTAGTCTCCTGCTCAGCAGAATTCATGAAGGCATCAATACGTGTTTAGCCAATACAGCTGCACTACCCTGTTGAAGTGCACACAACTACCAGCTGAGCCTGGTATTTTTACCCTCATTGCCCATTTGATGATAAGAGGTAAGAAGCTTGGCTGAAGTTGAGTAATCCTGTGGAAACATTCCAAAGTATCTACAAATCGCTCAGACACCACAGTACCTGGAGGATTTCCCTTTGTTGCTTATCAGCCGGGCCTTGCTGAAAGGACTGAGAGCTCATGAAACAAGAAGATAGCAAATCAAATACAAGAAGAATTCAGCTTTTCCCTCACAGAAGGCCTTATTTAGAACTGGTGGGGGAGGGGGCATCTCTGAGACTTTATATGGTAATGTACTTTAGGCTGCTCACTATCTTCTCCTTTTGCTTTTTGCCTACCAGACACCCAAGCCCATGGGAATAGTGGGAAATAGACTATGGAGGGTTCTTCATTGCTTCAGTCCCAGATTCTGGAGGTCAACCTTCTCTTGTGGAGCACAGTGGAAGGATCGAACAATACTTCCTCTAATGATCCTTACAAATCATAAAAACTAACCCCACAGTGGTAAGAATTAAGGGTCTTTCCCCACTCTGTAAACATGGGTTTACTTCTCCTGTATATCTGTCCCATGTTGTTTTCATAGGTTCTCTTACATTCTCACTTTACACATCCATTTGTTTTTCAGCCCACCACAGTGAAATTCTATGGAATACCCTAGTGGCAGGAACCACGCTATCTACTTGTTATCCAAAGCCACTTCCACATAAACTAGAGGAATCTACTTCCAAACTGTGGATTTAGAAAGAGCTGGCCCACATTCTTTTGCCTCTTGTGTCGTAACTGAAAATGGGCCACTTACAAGACTAATAAAGCCTTTTCCTCTGCCTACAGAATCTTCCTTCCCTTGAGGATCTTCTATGGCACAGTGCTTGGGCTGACGATGAGATATATGCAGTAATCTCTCATTTCACAGGAAACGAAGATGGGTACCATTTTCTGACCTCTTCAAGAGTAACTCACCTTTGAAGGAAATACTGATGACACAGGTAATAGAGCCTCTCTCCAGGAGCACAAACATAAAGCCATCCATGCCACTCTGCTGCTCACAATAATGTTAGTCTGTGGTTGTAAGAATTTCAAAGGTACAATCACGAAGGTGGGAAGCCATTTTAATAGAAGATGTATTTTCTTAAAGGCGTGAGGCATCCCCAGCTCTTTCATGCAATACCCTATGATGTGACCTACAAATTCAGTATCCTGGAGAGTGCTATCTATATATATCCTCCAGCAGCCTCAAAGGATCTGCTTAAAAAGTATTATGCAATGCAGCATCTGCTTAAAAAATATTATGTCCTCTAAAGTGATGATCCATCATGTTCTCCGCTTTGGGGCTAGTCAGAGTCTGCTTGTTTCTGTAAAAGATGCATGTTTTTTTTGGAACTCTCTGGGGACTGGAGAAGTTTTTCAGTCCAGCCTTAGCTACCATAACGACATCAGCTTTTCCCTGGCCACACAGAGTCATATCTTTTGACGATCTGCCAATCAAGGAAATGAGGATCCCAAAGGTTTCTCATTTTTTGTCACAAAATAATTCCAGTTCAGGCAATGGGCACCAGTCTTGCAGGATAAGATGACACATCAGCTTTAAACTGTTGGAAGATTCCTGTTGCTTCCAGTTTGTCTTATTTTATTCCCTTAATTAGAACAGGAGCCCTTATAAAGTAGGGAGGGGCAAACAGACCTTCTCCTAGCTAAATTTCATGATCTCTACTTCATCCCCATCCTTTTAGACATCACTGCTGCTTTTTCACATTGTTGACTACACTTTTCATGACATCTTCTCCACTCTGAGTTCCCATGCCAACCTCTATTGATTCAGCTCCAAATCTATCTTTCCACCATTTCTAGCTTATCCCCATATAGTCCTGTATCTTGGATAACTCCTCCTGGACATCTCACCATCAATGTCAACGTAGTGGCCAAAACTAAACTCCTTATCTCTCCTAAACCCTCTCCGCTAACCCCTTCTTCTGATACGGTAAACAACATTCTCCTTCCTACTCGAGCCCACTATCTGGGGGTCATCTTTGACTCATCCTTCTCCTTGCCTCATACAGCCAAGTTGCCGCCAAGTCCTGCTGCTGCTTCTTACTCAACACCCTGAAGAACTGACCTGTTGTATCTATCCCCACAGGAAAACCTCTCATTCACGCTGACAACAAGCCTATAAGAAGCAATTTGGAAATACTTAATCCTATTTAATACCTCTGTATTTCATAACTGCATATATGTTTTGCTGCTACTCTGTCTTTAGGTTGCGAGATCATTAGGGAAAGATATTGTACCTTTTTCTTTGTTTGGAAAATGCCTAGCACATGACAGGTGCTATTGGAAATAAGTAAAGATTACATTTTACCTTGAGATGGTTAAAAAGAGGTCAGTCCATGTTGTTCGTTTGGGGCTCCTACAGTGACAGAGGATAGAAAATCTCCCCAGATCAATCCAATTGCAATATAGTAATTCCTGTAACAGAGCTACGATCCCAGCAGGCAGCCTGTTAATTGTCTTCAGGGAATGCCAACATATACACCCTTAAGTGGTGAGCCAGCTCTGCTCTCTCGCGTGGAGATGATAGGATTGTAGTTCCAGTTCTCCCTGTCCCCTCTGCAATGGGGAGTGCCCCAGAAGGCAGTAGCAAGAGGCAGCCTGTGCTCTCAACAGAGTGCAGGTACTCAGACAGTGTTTGGTCCATGAACAGAGGGGAGATATCTCGAGTCATCGCACTTCCTTCTGCACCTGTGCTGGCACATTGCACGTCTTCCAATATATGATGTTCTTAATAAAAGAGGTAAGGGTGAGTTATAAATATTTCTGTTTTATCTTAGTGTCCCTCTAACTTTTTCCTGAAACATACTGGGTCCAAACAAGCACACTTTAGACAAAATTCCCACTGAAATCAGTAGGAATTTTACCTAAAAGGACAGAATTTGACCCAGTGTGGAACTGAATGATGAAAGCAAAAACACAATAAGTGACTTGGAGGACAATGGATTGCTTTGTATGAAACCGATGAATTACAAAAACTGGGCTTACGTTTTTTACATGAAGAACAATCTTCTTGACTTGCAAGCCAACAAATTTAAAAACGGCAGAGAACCAACCATGAACTGGTATCCTGCTTCAGACTCTTCACTCCAGTTTCTCTCTTCCCACAGGCTAGTTAAATCACACATTTTGGGAATTGCAAAAGAAAAATTCCTAATGTGTCAATGCATTCTCATCATTTCATAGGGCTTCACAAATATTTCTATAGTTAAATACATGAGTACAGAGAAAAATGTACAGGCCAGGTTGTGAATGCCTTTGAGAGTATTTGACAATGAGCACGTGAGAGTATGTACATACCAATGTGAGTAAAAGGTTCACAAACTAGTCCAAAAAGTATAGTATACTCTGAAATATTGAATGAGACAAATGTATATGTGCATTCCAAAATATAAAAGTGTTGTATGCAGCGTGAGGCAATGTTAGAAGGTATCACGCTTACACAGATTACCATGAAATGTACACACTGTCAAAGTCTGGAAATCACTCAAGAGACAGATTTTACCTGACAAATACAAGCTGATACTTTCTAAAGGGTAATTTCCTTTAATTAGCTGTTTTCATGTAAGCAGTGTCTTTCTTGGGGTGGGGATGAGCTTTTCACTATGTGATTTTGAAACACAAAACTAAAACCTGCTTTGGCTTTATGATTTGCTTTTCTTTTGTTTGTTTTTTTACCATGCAAAAATTTATTCATACATTTTTGACAGTAAGAATTCCAGGATGCAAACAGAAACACAACAATACACTAGTTGATTATCTTCAAGAAGAGATTACTTTGAGTCTGACAAAATTTTGGTCAATCTAAAACATTCACTATAGAAAAAATATTGTGGCACAGAATCTTTCTGTCACCTGCTTTTTAAGTATGGCGAAAAGTAAAGGCAAAAAGAGAGAGAGAAAGAAAGAGGGAGGGCAGATACACTGAGAATCTGCAGTATAGATAATCATACCCTTTATTGGCTAAGTTACATTAGACTGCAACACTGTAAAAACCTGTCAAGGAGAGGAAACAGTAGATTTGTAGAGGTAGTAGAAAGTCTGTAACAGTCAGAAGATGGCTTACAGGAGTGTGTCATGCTAAAAAATCATCATGCTGTTTAAAAAAGCTGATCAAAACCAATTAACTAAATAAATAAGGAACACAAATCATTTTAAATATTATGGTCTAACTGAATTAAAAAATCAATACAATACAATGATAAAGAAGGAACAAGAAAACCTAGGACTCACATCTGAAAATGGCTGGTCTTTGAGGTTGGCTTTCCCCAACCCACTCCTCCCATTCCTTGTTTAATTATGTGAAAATCTCATTTCTGTGCTATACACAGCATATAATTATTTAAACTGATTTCCCTTACTGTTGTTCTTCATGTAGGTAAATTATGATTGTAACTTTGCTGATTAGTACCCTGGTAATGGCAGCGACAGCACTATCCTCTCCTCTGTCAGGTACGCTGGAAAAAAGGTTCCAGAAAGCAACATTTGCTCTAAATATTAACTATGATTTTCCATATCAGCTTGCATAACAGGAAAAAATAAAAAAAAAATTACAAATGTACACTACACTTTTGTGCCATTTTGGGTACAGAAGAGATTTTAATAACTAAAACACAAACAAATAGGATAAGCAACTAGCTTTTGTGCATTCCTGAACTGTCATCATTACTTTCATCCAAGAAAAATATGACTCAGAAAGCAACCAAAAAAAAAAAAAAAAAAAAGCTAGTGCAAACCCCAAAATGATGATCAATCATTAATCCACACAGCAATTTTGTGTGCATGTGTCTGTGTTCGTGTACACAGTGGAATGTGTCTGGCGACTTCCCTCAAAATAACTTTACAAAACAGTCAATGACAGTCACTTGTAAGTATTTGCACAGACATTCCTAACTACACCAGGACTACAGAGAATTCTGGTATACATCTGGTGTAAAAGTATGAGAAAAAATTAGTAAAAAAAATTACGTAAGAAAGTTATATTTGCATGTTTGCGAGTGTTGCAAAGTAACAAGAACTGTCAAGTAATTCACAACAAGTAACAAGTAGTAGCCAGAACCAATTATTGACTAGGTTTAAAAACAAACAAACAAAAAAACCCTAAAAAAAACCCAAGCAAACAAACAAAAAAAAATTGTTAGAACAGAAAAAATCACGCTTTATGGTTTTTGTTTTTTTTTTTAAACAAATCTTTGTGTCAGAAGCCCATTTACTACAAAAACAGCACTATTCCATTATCGTATTAAGTAAACTGTTGCTCTCGCCGGTATTAAAGGTTAGCATCATTTCTGTACATGTAAAATTATTGCTTTTTTTGAAAAATATAATTAGCATGCGATTTTTTTTAATCCATTTCCTGCCTTTACAAAATGTTACAATTAAAAAAAAAACCTACTAAAGCTTTTGCAAAAAATTTCACAGAACATTTTCTTTCAAGGCAGCAGTAATTTTTGATAATGCATAAAATTATATGTGCAAAATCTGAAACTCTCAGAAATATTACCATCACACATAGTGTCACAGCAATGAGAAAAGAAAATATTTATATCTGTGGAATACATTTTTTTAATTGCTTACACTTCATGGTTTACCAACCTATGTGCCACAACCTCCACCTTGAAAACTTGCATTTAAAAGAGTTACTGTAGAAGAGGTATATAAAGCTCTTTTTCCCCCCTAACACCACCAGTGATCACCAAATAGAAGACATGACACATTATATGAACATTAACCTGCCACCACAAAAGAAGTTACTCAGCTTTTCAAAATGTCACCAAGCCCAGAAAGGAAGGGTAACTGGCTTGCCGAACAAAAATACAGGAGTGTACAGTACCCTAAGGGCCTAGGTCAGCCTGAACTTGTTCAGCGACTCCTTTTCTATTAAAAACGTACAGATCAGCGGCTTTAAACAGCTGAATAATTTTTTAAAATGTGCAGACTTCCTTTGTGATCAGGTCAAAGAAAGTAGCCCTGTTACAAAAAAGGTCCTGAGAGTAAAACACCAAAGCCTGTTTTTCTTAGTGTTGAACCAGCTTTTTCTTTTCCAAAGCAGAATATAAGCATTTCTGTGGAAGTGTTTCAATTTCCATATTCACATACTATTAATGGTGCGCAGTCAAGAACAAGAGACTTAGAAATGCAAGTGGTCCCCAACTGTAATGAAACAAACCATTGTAGAATGATGGTCTTCTCTTTAGTCCTTCATCAAGCACTGCTCTCCAAAGCACCAAATGCTACCTCTTTCCCCCTCACACTCCTCCTTTTTAAAAGTTTACTTTTCCGCATGACAAGCAGTAGCAGTTTCATTAATTAATACTTGTTCGGCCCCCAAATCCACTGCTGTTTTTCAAATGTATCAAATAGTCATTCTGAGCATCAGGGAGGTTTTTGTTACAGTACTTAAATTCTTCACGCTGTCCAAATCACATACAGTTTAATTATTCCAGTGTCTCAAACTTATCTTGATTAATATAGATGCCTTGCACTGCCACAATGCTTGCCAACTCCACTGTTTATTACAAAGGAAATAAGGAACCATGGGACTGATTAGTACGTCAATTTATATATATCTTGTGTAGCATCTTCATTTATTTTAAAATGATTAACAGTGCAGAGGCATCTCCATTCTAGCAGAGCACTGTTTTCACTCTAGCACAGTGACTCCAGAGATTTGATGGCTTATAGGGAAGTTTTCCAGCTGTTCTTCTATAGGGCTGTTGGGATCATCGTTTTGAGGTTGTTGGAATCGCCGATCAGGGTACTGGGTGTTGTCAAAGGGTACCCGGTGCACACACTGCACATGTGTTTTTAGGTTCCCTTTCTGAGAGGCACTGTATGGACAATATCTGCATTGGAATGGTCTCTCCCCTGCAAGAAAAAAGACAAAGAGAAAAGCTTATTCCTTCCTCTTGTTTTTTAAGTATAATCTTCCTATTAACACTACAGCTCTGCTCCTATTCAGAACCATCATGCATATTTGAGCTACATTTTTTAGCATTATGCACATTAATTTTGACCTAACACATCGCAAAGAGTTATTTTTTAATAATCTCCAGTGAGAGCAGAGCATGTCAGATTCCTATAAACTGTTTGACATACTAGAACAGCAAATAATAGTGACTGAAGGAGCACTTAAGAAAAGGTTAAGAATGGCTGGGAGAGGAAGGACTCCAAAAAGCAGAATTCTGCAGTAACAAAAAGGGATTTATAACTGAACAATTGTTTTGTTTTCTTTTTTAAAGGGGAATTTGAGGGCCACGGAAGGAGAGAGAAAAGACAGGCAAAACTTTAACACAGCTCTGTCCAAACCTGTGAGGGATTTTTACCAATTTTCATAAATAATTACCACGTTGGAAAAGCAGAAAGGGATATTCTAAAAAATCAAGTGACCTGCAAGATAAAATTGGGAACAAATGGGAGCCTGCAGCTCCCAGGGTAAGCTTTAAAATGACATTCAGAAATCACTGTATGAACAATGCAGTTTACAATCCTGATGACTAAAGCAACATGGCAAGATTAATCTTACATAAATACATTAACCTAAAGCTAAAGTCCTGATGAAGTAAAACAGACCATTTTATATTAGCACGACATAACATACGACACCCATGGAAAATCCCAGCAAGTTTCAAGCTGTGCCTATGGCAGCCTTGGAAATAGCTAAAGAAAACCCAGCTCTGGCTGACATAATGTATTAAGTGTATCTCTTTTGTTAATAGATTTAGAAAATTCCTAATTAAAGCTGGCCCGAGATTCATGACATTTACCAGTCAAAGTTTGGGGTAAGTCAGAAAGATTTGCAACAAAATTAAAGAAAAAAAAAAGCTGCTGTACAGGCTGCAGTATATTTGAAATGTAGGAAATAGTAACTGAACGAGAGATGTGATAAAACTTCCTTAGTTGGATGCTGAATTTCCTGCAGTAAACTAAGAAAGATGTTTTACATTTTTGCACGGCTACATCATGCCTAAGAGACAGAGCCACAATTCCAAGAGAAAGCACTATCATTAAAACATCTCGCACTGAACCAGCTAGAGATACACTGGGGAACATGGGAGAGGATTCTTTGTGCTGGGGGGAAGGGGGACACATCTTGCCCCAGTTTCTCTGGGTAAGAACTGTAAAAAGGACCCTGGCCTGAGGATGCAATTAGGGGTAATTCTGTAGCACAGCTAAACCAATCAGTACTTGGGAAGGAAGGTTTGCCCTAAAGGTCCAGCTGTAATCCACCCACAGACAGAGTGCCACCAGGAGCACAGTAACATGAAAGGGGTTATCATCTGCCCACAAGATATAAAAGTACAGAGGGGGACCAAGGGCTGTGGTGGTGGGTGGGAGAGGCTGACAATTCCCTTCCAAACAGGCCAAGTTAGCAGAATTCTCCTAATTACAGCTTTAAAGACGACGACCATTCCTAAGGGCCAAATTTTCCTACACTGAGGGGAAATCTCAGCCTTCAGCAAACGTGAATGTAAAGTGGGAGCGTGCAATTTCCATCTTAAGAGAAATAGCAAAAAAAGTACATGAGCGGAGATCACACAAAATGTTATTTCTTCACGGTGAGGAAGGAGACTTCAAACTTTTGCAGGCAAATGCAGTCACTAGATTGGGGAGAGGGAGGCACTGTCATACCCTATAAGCACTACAGTGTTTAGGGCACCTCAGTGCTTTTCAATCAGCTTCAGAGAACCATCTGACTTTGTGCCCGCAAAAATATTCAAACACAAATGCCTGCTCACCTGCATTTGCACATGCAAATTCGGTAGATGGCAGTCCATTAATTGATTCATCTGCTAAAAACTGGGAACGGTAAAATTATGCAAATATGTTTTTGCAAGCAGAAAATTAAAAGCTGCTGCTAAAAATTTGGCCCTTAAAGTGTGCACTGCCCCAGCTGGTATGTGATACGCGTGGCATTTTTTTACATATGGGGATGGGACTATTTCTTCCAAAGGAGGAACTTTGCCATTTAAAATGGTGGGTTCTTCTCTCACGAGTGGAAAAATAACTCCTTTTAAGAAAAGGAGAAGGCTGTCTTAGATAGACAAAACAAAGCTACCAAATCAAAACTGGTTTGCACACCTAATCTCCCTTGTGAGGATTTCACATGTTCTGCTACAAGATGATGGCACCTTGCAGGCTTTTGTACTTATATTTGGAAAAGTCAGTGTTAAATTACTGAAAAATATTGCAATACAGTGACAACTATCAGTTTGGAAAAGGTTGCCTCTTCCAGTTTGCAGATAAGTGGGAAAAAGTTGGGACAAGAGCCGCATTCACAGAAGTCATCTGTGATGTTTGTGAACTAAAGGACATAATATGCATAATACTCATATTCAAGTGCAGCAACCTACATGATTCCTGGATTGTTTGCATTATAATCCACATCCATGAATGAGACAAATTAGGTTGCCATTTATTTGTTCATTATCTATTATTTTGATTAATGGAATTCTTGTTCCCAACATAGCTATTTAAAAATAACATTTGCAATAACGTGAAATGAACTATTAATCATGATCTTAAAAAAACTCAGTAAGGAACTTGAACATGACATTTCATATGTGAGCAAAATGTTATAAACAGGATTTTTAGTTGCCATTGTTAAAATCTGAAAGGTATAAAATAAAGAAGTCAATAGTATTAATAATATTTTTGATATGAACAATTTTTGTCCTAAGTGCTCTAGGCTAGGTAAGGTAGTATAGCAAGAAAGATAAAAACACACTAAAGAAAAAAGCAACCTCCCTCCCCCCCCAAAAATAACCCCCAAATTCTAATAACATAATGCTGCATTTCCCCCTTGGTCCTAACAATCCATTCATCCCCCTGAAGTTTGATGATTTATGGAGGACAGATATTGAACATTACAGGAAACATTTTAAACAGCTATGCTGAAGATAATGAGGGTCCATGGTTATGCCTTCTTACTGAGGTTGCATGGCCTTCCATTGTAAGACCAATTTTTAAAATGCATTTTAAATGAAAGTGATTTCAAGAGCTGTGCTAGCTGTTGACACTGCTGTCATTTGCAAAATGTGATAGCCAGGGGGTTCTAGCACCATAGGAGTAGCAGGACAGAGAGATTTCCAATGACAAATATTTTTCTGGTCAGCAGCTTTTAAAAACTGTTTTTTACTTGTTTGTTTCAGTTGCACAAATCAGCATACTTGAGCAGAGGACTTAATGCCTATGCTTAAAATACTGTAAAGATGCTTTAATTTACATGTATCATCCCAATTAGATGAGGAGTCATGATCTTGTCATCCATCTTGCAAATCACACCTCCTGAGAGCAACTACTCAGCCTTTACAATTTTCTAGAGTATTTTGTTTAAACAAAATATTTGAGCATATTACTAAGGATGGCTGTGAACCCTACAGGGTAGACAATCGTGTTGTTTTTTTAAAATGAAACTGGAAGGGTTAAATGAACAGTAGCTGTGCCAGAAATTGCTATCAATACTGATGCCATTTTTAAGGCAAACTGGAAGTTCCAGTGCCATAGAATTCATTGAGACTTTGGCCTTTGAGTACAATCCCACAGGATCCAGTTTACCATTGCTCAACCTTTAAGAAACTCATTGCCTTTAAAGTCATGGTGGTACACAAGTCTGTCTATTCAGAGTGTCAAAGTGATTGTTGCAAGAGGGAACTGGTTTCATTTTGCACCCCTCATGTGATTGCTGTGTGCTCCCAGAATTCATGCTTATTGAATCATGTCTTTGGAATGCTGTTTAGTGTATTCCAAATGTGATACATATTCATTGTAGAATATGCAATCTTAATTATGGATATATTCAGATATTTAGCATTTATAAAAATATTCAGAATATTCAACGTTTAACATGGCAGCATTTCAAGCAGATCTGCATGAGTTTGCACTGCCTGTATTGACTCAGGTTATGTAGTGTGTATTCTTTGTCCTTCGTAAAGGATTAGGAACTATATGAGAGTACTTAGAAAATTTATTTGGTGAAAATGTCAATTTGTTTTTAGACGGGGTCATGCAAAAGCAGAGAGAAAGCAGGAAAAAATATTATGACTCAGGCACCCACTTAATTATTTTTTATATTTCATTTGGTTATATTACTTCATTCATGGTGAGACAAGGAACCCTTATAAAGTTATAGGCAAGGGCCAAAATTGTCAAACTTGGGTGCCTATAGTCTTTATAAAGGAACCTAAGTAAGCAGCCTAATTTTCAGAGGTGGTCAGCAGCTGCAGCTCCCAATAAACTGGTTGCTCACCACCTTAAATTAGGTGCCCAAATATGGATTCAGGCGCCTAATTTTAGACAACCAATTTTAGACTCATTGTGATAGTGCTGGCTTTAAATTATTCTACAAGAAAGTCCCAAAATAATTGTAACACTACTGTAAACTGCTACATTTGGGACTGCAGAATCTGCTCTCTCTCTCTTATAAGGGAAGTTATTCAAAAGTTTCATTATTTGAATACAGAAAGGTCAGGGGAACTGTGGTATACAGTCTTACATCAAAATTAATTTTTTTCACTTTAAATAAGTGCTCAAGGGAAGATTTCTTACCTGTAAAGAGGCAACATTTTATGAAATGGATTCTCTTAATGTGAAAAACCTTTATTCTAAAGCTATTGCAAGTGATGGCTACTGGTTTTTGCAGGGAGCAAGTGTATGGCACTGCTGAAAGTTGAATTGACTCTACACAGTAAACTAAGAATAGCTCCATCTCCAATTAAAAAAAAAAACAGTGGAGTGACAATATTTTAATTAGAAAATAATTGTGTTGCCAGAGTGCTGGAAGCATTGTTCTCAATACATTCTATGCTTCTAAAAGCTCCCAGAGTTCCATGTTGAAAATAAATAATACTCTCTAATACCTTGGGGATTTACAGGTGAAATTTGGGGGAAGCGCGGGAATAAAGTCATTGTTTATTCTGAGGCCACAGACAATAGACGACGAAAGTTTTCATTTAAATTGACAATGACACTGACAAACTGAAACAAAGGCTGAAATTAAAGAATTATTGTGACAAAAAAGAGGAAGAGAACTATTTGTGGCGGATGGTGAACATACTGGAACCTCTGTGGAAGAGAGACTGAATGGCAATAGACTGAGAAATTGGTACAGCTCACCACTGCCCAATCCTGTGGAAGCTGTTGGATGCGCGACAACATTTCTCTAATCTGCTACAACCAAGGCAGACCAAGACTGACGAAGACTACAATAGCAAACTAAGTTTGCTATGGAAGAAGTTAATCAATAAACTCAGTCACAGCATGAGTTTGCAAAGACAAGTAAGCTGTTACCACAGCTGTTACTCCTAGAAATGACCTTTTTACAATTTGTCTGTGTTTTAAAATAGACTTCCAATTGCAATCTTATTTTTTCTTTCAAAAAGCATTGCCTTCAAAATCTTTGATCTCAGCTATGCCTGGGACAAGTCAAAAAAGGTAAAGAGACGAAAGAGATCCAACAGCACACGTATTTTAAATATGCTTAGGCTTGCTAAATTTATGTTAATAAATTTATGAGAGCTCACCAAAGACCCCCATTGAGCCACACAGTGTTTCACCGTCTGTCAAATACTTTTATCAAGGAGTCATGCCTTTCTACCAATTTAATGGATCATCGACGTTAGCAGAACACTTTTGGACTGAATTCATCTGCAATCTCAATATGTAATTCTCTAATTATGGCATACCCTTGCTGTTATACGTTCTCTTCCCGCTGCCCCTCTCACCAAAAATAAGCATCTTCTTTTTGGAACAGGAGTTGCATTTCAGTTTTAAAATTTGAATCGATTCAATTCAAAGCCCTACAATGTATGAATCTTATTACAATCGCTGAGATTTTTTTTTAATCACTAAGGCATACGTTCATTAAATTACTAAAATAGGATTTGTGAGGGGAAGATACTTTACAGTCATGAGGATAAAAATAAAGTCAATGTCATACATGGATTCATGTTTGTGTTTCTAGTGATGGGTCTCATTATATTTGATAAAACCCCTTCATAGAAATGTTAAACAAAGTTGCTTCTTATTTTTCTGAAGTTTCTCATATGAATTTATTTTTGATAAAAGGTGGCATGTTGACAACCCTGGAGAGGGAAGTCCTGCGTTGATCCACAGAACAGGAACAGCATGGGTAGCAGCAATTCAGCCCACCTCACAATAACATGGAGAGACCTCTTCTAAAGGGGACAGGGTGGTTCAGTCTCTATGACCCATTCGATCCTTGGTGCCTCTGCTGAGATTACCAACAAAGATACCAGTTTGGATCAACTGTGGTGATTGTTGAAGTGATATGAACATCTTCCCACTGAAAAATGGGCTAAGAGCAGCATACCTATTTCACACAGGGTAATGAGTGGTCATCAGATAACAGCAGCTTTTAGTCGCTACTGACCTGGGGTTGGTTTAGCACTAAAAGACAGGTTTTTTTAGAGAGATGGCCTTGGCCATCCCAATGGACTGATGGTGGCACAACACACTGCTGTGATGGTGAGTGTGCTTCTAGACTAACCTCTAGCCTTTTTACCCCATAGGCCAACACAATGGAGAAGATTATTAAGAGTCCTCATGAAGAGAGCACTGTATGAACTGCATGAAGCTGTGGTTTCTGATATGACTTCTTGTGGGGATGGTTTTGGATCATGGACTCTAATGACAGTTTGGATTAGGTCCTTACATTTAATAAAGGTCTACATTCAGAGCTGGTATGGAATTGCATCTATTTACCCCCAAAGCTAAATTTGGCCCACACTGTTTTCAGGGGCTTGGTGGGAAGGGAAGGACTAGAATATTGTGGCAATAAAAAAGAAAAACTGAAAATAGGGAGGAAAAGGGTAAAAAAACATCATTCAAGATAGAAACTTGAGTGAGAACTGTTTATGAGAAGATGAAGCCCACAGCCCACTTGCTAAAGCTGAAGAAGGGAGTGGATAGATGAAGTGGTGTTGTTTTATTTTAATACATAAAAAGCCCAATTCAGAGAACTGAAAAGTGTTTGTCAAGACAGGAAACAATGTATATTAGAAACAGGAAAGCACACCACCACACAGAGTCCACAGAAACTGAAAGGTAAGAGCCTTTCAAAGATATCAGCTACAGGATATCACGATAGGAATACTCTTCAGAAAAACACAGACCAAGTGTTATTTGTGTTGTTGCAGTGGATAAATTTTTAGGTGGGTAAAAGCAAATCTCTCTCTCTAGCGATTCTTAAATTATGATCTTACATTTATATACCATTTTGTGCATTATACAATTACCCTTCCCACCCACCCCCAGTACACCGTTAACATCTTTGCTTATGCATTAACTATCTGACCCACAATTAACTGTCTTCTATATGTAACAGTCTTTGGTAAAATGCTAATAAAGTGTAGGATCTAAAAATCAAAGCAACGCTGTTAATATTTACACATTTGTTATAAAACAGTCAGTGCTTTACTGATGAGTATCACTGTGCAACTTTTCCCCAGCTAACACATTAAAAACCAAACACCCAATTAATTGTAAAACATACTTGTTTTGGGGCATCTGAGGAGGTGGTGTGAACTTCAGTACCTCGGAGTCCATTAGACTCAAATACCACTGTGGGAACAAGGGGGCTTGTTAACAGATGAACATTCAAGCTTCGTTAGTGTGTGTACATTAGTTGAGACCATTACAGATTAACCACATTCAAAAAAAGACACCAGCTACTAGCCTGTGGCCGGAAAATACCAATTTACCGTAACACTTACTGTAAGAGAGTGTGCTAATGGCAGCCTAGGGGCACTGCCCTTTTTAATTCAGACTTCGGTGCTGAAGAAAGCAATCACTGACAACATTAATTATCAGTGTATGTGTAGAGGGACCCTCTTCTTGCATTACTTACCATTTGGCCTCTGTCATTTTGCATCAGACTGGCTTATGTATGCATCATTCACACTTTTCAAAGAAAACCCGCTAGTCTCACTGTCTCATGTAATGCTTATGAGGTATCTTGACACTGGTAGCTTTAGCTGGCTACGTTCTCAACAGTAGATCATTCTAAGGTAGAAATGGCTGACAGGGATTTTAGAGTTTATAACTGACCAGTCTGAGGAGGATCTGTTTTCATACAAAACTGTTCCAGTCAATAGCAATGATGAAAGAAAACAAAGCCTTATGTTCTGCTGAAAGGGGCTACTCTGATTTCAATTTGTGCTGGTGGCAACAGAATTTATTTGCATATTCATTTCTGAGTATCCTACTCTCTAATTAAAATAAAGCATTTGGAAACAGGCTTATCTCAAATGCATTGCAATTTTTTGGAGTGGAGGGAGGGAAGTCAGGTATGGAACACATAGAGAACAAGAGCAATACCAATCAATATCAAAACCTAGGGTATTGCATATTGGAAAGTATTTAAATTATTTAGGTTAGTACAGGAGATAAAACTAAATTCAACATTCTGTTAGTTGGGTTAAAAAATAAAACAAAACAAAAAAACAAAAAACTGGTGAGAAAAGATACCTGTGTGGGACCTCATATGAGTCCGGAAGTGACTGTGCTGGTTAAAGCATTTTCCACATTCTATGCAGACATAGTCTCCTTGGCGTGTTTGTGTCCTAAGCATCCCTGTGGTAGAGAGGAGGGAGAAGAAAGGGAGGGGGAGCGGAAAGTTGAGAAGAAAACATTATGCCAGAAGAAAACATCATTAGTATGTCTAATGTGTCATTATGTGAGGCTACCTTCAGGCCCTGGATGACAACTGTCAGCCTTCATCTAGGCACTGGCTGACAGGCCAGGCACACACAGGACTGCAAGAATGCATAAATTACATTGAATTAAAAAATGCTCCCCATGATGTGCCCGCACCAGGACTGGCATGTCAGGTGTGCGCTTTTCAGAGCAGCTGGATCCACTTTTCAGCCATCACCCAGCTTTGTCAAGCAGTACATCAGGCAAATCAAAGTGACTCCAGCGTGGCGGAGACAAGTCACATGGATAATAGGAAGTGAGCAGAACCAGAGCCCGAATGTCCCCCCCGGGCCGCAATACCTTGGAGACAAATACAGAGTGAGTGGAGCCATCACAAACTGATCAAACCTTTAGCCCCTGCTTACCTGCCTGCCGGTGCTGCTTTGACCTCAGACCTCTGAGGCTCAGACAAAAGACATCTGTGAATGAAAGTGTCATTCTGGACATTTTGAGCTAGTAGCAACACAGCAGCCTTCTACCAGCCCTTGGTAAACATGTTTTCTAGGCCATTAGCATTTGTGGAAAACTACTCAAACCTCTCCTTTTTTTCCAAAGGTCAGTTTACAGTATCTGACTTAAAGGGCTGGTCTTTGTCTTTTTGCTGCTGATCAAAAAAGACACATTTGACTTTTATTGGGCATTTCTACAAAATGTTTGAACATCTTTTCTATTTTGGTAAGAAGCCCTCCTAAAAAGGAAAGAATTGATGTTTTAATTTACCATTGGAATGCCTTGGCTTTTAAAGCAAATTCGCAGAGGAGTTTCAGTGAAGGTTCAGCTCTTTTTTTTTTTTTTTAATTGACCAATGCACAGAAAAAAGTAAAAATTCTAACAAAAAAGTGACAATTGTTTTAAAAAGCTAAACTACACTTTTAAATCAATTGCAGCAAGAAACTAGGTTATGTCCAAAACATATACAGTTGGTGTGATGCCCACAAAACAAAGGGCAAAGAAGATTAGGGACCAGGCTTTCATTCACTCTTTTGCCACGTAAATGATAAATAATAATAATTGACTTCAATAAAATTAGTTCAAAAGACCTGCTGTACAAGTATTTCCTCTCTCTTCATTACAGCACCCCCGAATATGTTCCTAGAGAGAGAATACAGAACCACACTGCTTTAGCAAAGCCTAATCCTGTTCACTATTACTCACATGAAACTCCCAGAGAATCAGTGGAAGTTCTGTGTGAGTAAAGATGAGCAGCATTAAGTTTTACGATTAGGATTAGGCAAAACTCCCACTGATTCCCTGGGAGTTTCAAAGTGAACAGGACTTTCCCCATGATCTATAAAAGATTAAAACAGATTTTCTAGCAGCAGTCTAGCAGATTTTCTGGTTTCTAGCTAACAGACTATAAAAACCCTATTAGCATCTGTCCCCAACAAGACAGAAGTAATTATGGCTGCAATCCGGAGACCGAAGCTACATGCAGTGCTTTAAGGAACCCTGATATGTTTTCCCATGAAATCAGTGCTGTTATCTCTAAACCATTCATTTTGAGACTAAGTCAAAATACATCTCATATAGGGGAAGGACAATCACGTGGTTAAGGCACTGGACTGGGACTCAGAAGACTTGGTTCAATTCCCAGTTTGGCCACTAACTTCTTATGTGGCTTTCAGGGAGACGTTTAATTTCTCAGTGCCCCAATTCTCCACCAGTAAAAAGGAGATAACTATATGTCTTTTCTCCCATCCTTTGCGTCTCTCCTCTAGTCAAACTGTAAGCTCTCTGGGGCAGGAATTGGCTCTTACGATGCCTAAGACAACAGGCCCCTGATCTTGTTGGTGTCTCTAAGTGTTATTGTAGAATAACCAACAACAACTACTGTCACAGCAAGAAAGAACAATTTAGGTTTATTTTCTCATCAATCAACAGATGCCACTCATGTTAAAGTCAATGGGAGTCACTCATTAGGGTCCGATACAGATGATCCTAATGGTCCCATCCAGCCTTTCAGCCCATTATCCTGGCCCCTTCAGAAACTAAGGCCTGATCCAAAAGCTTCTGAAAACAATGGAAAGACTCATGCTGATGTCAATGGGCTTTAATTCAGGACCTGAAGTTCTTTTGGCTAACCATTCTGGGCCCAATCTTAGGAGTCATGACTGAGTAAAAAGTCCCATTTCAATCAACCTATTGAGGAAATTGGGAATTTTGCTGGAGTAAGGACTGCAGAGTCAGATCTTCTATATTGTGCACTCACCGTAGCTAGTGACAACATTTATTTTGGGTTCAATATTTCTAGCCACATCTTTGCCCCATATCTCTGCCTTAAAGTTTTATCCAACCTCAGCACCAGAACTGCTAGGTTTTTTGTTTTGTTTTTAAACATGTCTAGCTGTATACAAATAATATTTAGCTAACCAGCAGTGGAAACCAGCCCAGAAAATTTTACATTTTAGTAAGAGGGAAAACACATCAGTTCATCTCAGAATGAAGATCATATGTGAAAACATTTTAAATGATGGTAAACTGCTGGATGTTAAGAGTCTAGAGATTTGCCTATTGAACATGACACTTCTAGAAGAGAGGGTCCATTGCAGTATTTTTTTCTTACACAGTGTGAACTCTGCCAGCTAGCTTACTGTACATGAATATGTAACCAAAGAATTCATTTAGCATCTCCCTCTATCTCTTCCGGTTTGCTTTCTGGCTACTATTTAAAAAAAAAAAAAAAAAAAAGATAGAAGAACCGGATTGCTTCCACATATTTTTGTCATTGTTTTATTTCTTTAAGAGAGACATCATAAGCTTTTGGTATTTTAAGGCTTTGTCTTGATGGACACCATTGTCACAACATACTGCCTCTGTGAGATCATCTCTCAGGATAAACTATACTTGAATAAGAGGGGGGCAGATGACCACAGGTGTTTGGAAATTAAGTGATGCAAATGAAAGTGACCATTTTCATGGGAGCTCCTGTGAAACCAGCACTCAGAGTTGGTCTCACAGGAATCCCAGGGGAAAGGGTGCACCTGCTGCTGTAATATGTCCTCCCTAGTACCATGATAGTTGTAAATAACCCTATGAATAAAAAAGAAAAATCACCTCTACCAAACTTAAATTTAAAAAAAAACCCTCTTCTCCTTAAGCAGTAATCAAACTATCTAGTCCTTGATGTAAAAGCCCTGATGTCTAATACTAGTACCACAGGAGTACTTTCAACTCTTTTCTCCAAAGAATCGAAGAAACGCCAGACTACTAGCAGAATACCGAACTGTGCACCAGTCTCATGCGAGCAGATACAGCCAATTTAAAATATAAAAGCAAAGGCTACAAACAAAACACCAAAATGCCTGAAATGGAAAATTGTATTGTGATCAAGGCTGATCTACTGCATGAGGTATTGTACTAAATATCCAGAATTAAGAGGCTTAGGAACAACCTATGTGATTGGCAGAACATCCCTGAATTCTTCATAATGGCAACACAATCTCTCTGGCCAAATTGAAGCCTTGTTTGTTGTAATGCATAATAAAGACTCACTGGGATAATTCTGTCCTCGGCTGAGACTGACTGCATGTAATTGAGGGAAGAGTTCTTCTAACAGGTGGGATCCTGTCCCTTTCATGTGCAGCAGTTTTACCTTTAGTCCTCTGAAAAATATACAGCGCCATGCCAATACATTGGTAGTGGCACCAGTGACCTGCAAATTCTATATGGAATGAGTTCAAGAAAGCTATTCAAAGGCTACATACAAGAAAACCAGGCCACAAAATTCTAAAACTTGGCCATTACAAACAGTTTTAGGTTAAGGAAGAGATTTCAAAGGCACAAATGGGAGCTAGGCAACCAACACTCACTGAAAGTCAAAGTGCACCTAACTTCCATGTGTGCCTTTGAAAATCTCCCCTTAAAGCAGTATTTACACAGTAAAGTCCTACTTCAAAAAAAGTAGATCAGCAAGTAAATATTTCCTATAGAACTCCTCCTCTGCCCCAATATTTTTTGTGCATCTTCTGGTTTCTCCAGCCGTTGATGTCAGGTTCATGGCGCTCCTCCTGTTCCTCTCCATCCTGGCGAGCATAATTGAAAGGGAGCCCATTGTGTCAATCAGATCTATTCCAGGCAGGCTTACATGACGTGATGTTAAATAGTGTCACCAGGAGGTAAGGTACCCAAAGTTGCTAACATTGGCAGAGCTGAATTGGCATTAGTAGCGGTGGAAATTTTTTAGAAAATGTCCCTATGAGCAGAGAGGGACAAATGAAAAATAGTTGGTAGTTAACCAACAAAGTGAGCACATATGACAGAAGAACAAGCTACTGTGACAATGTATTCCTTGAAACGGGGAATGTCCCTGTTCCCCACCTGCTTTACAAGAACAGTTGCTTTGTGCCAGCTTTTGTAAACCTTTTTACACTCTGGGGCCAACTGAAGGAAACATCAAACAGTCAGGAAGAACACCACCACCCAGCTCTTATCTAGCACTTTTCATACATAGATCTCAAAGCGTTTTATGAAGAGAGATAGTACTATTAATCATCAATTGATTAAGCAAAACAGACAACAGGCTGGTCAAGATGTGCATGTCTAGGACCATTTCTTGAGCACACTCATGTTGCCAGCCTGCCTCTCAAAAAACCTCCCAACAAGCCCATAACCCAGCAGTATGGATCTTCTTTCTCTACCCACACCATGACAGCTAAAATCATCATGTACACACCTTCCAGGCATTCCACCAAAACTGTCTCTATGCTGTCCTCTTCCCTAGCTACAACTGTCCCTGGTTTTTCATTTTTAAAATCTAGCAATTCTAACTTGACGAAACAGAAAGCATTACACTACTTCCTCCCCTAACAGATGATGTCCCCAGCTCCTTTCAGCTCCATGAGTGAAAATCTTGAGCTCCTATAGTAAAGATCTGACTAAAGGGGTTCTGTCTGAGTTAAATTCATTTTAGAAAGATTCATGTTGCACTGATCCTACTGAAAGAAAAGTGAAAAAAAAATCTTAAAATTTATAAAAAGGTTTGTTCCCAGGGCTTTTTCCCCCCCTAAGAGTAAATCTTCAGTTTCCACAGACACAACCAAAATCTGGCAGGAAATCAGAGAGACACAGTGGTGATTAGTTTCAAAACCAAAAAGGTGGTTTTTTGGAGGGGAGGGGAAGGGTAGAGACAGATGGAAGGAAATTCACGGTACTTTTTTGAATGCTGCTTGTATAACTACCTTAAAACAAATTAGCCTCTGAACTTTAAATTGGCTATTTATACATACGCTTTTCCTGTCAAAGTAAACTGACAGATACTGTAAAATTAGACACATATAAACAGCCCAAGATAGTCATTTGGAAAATATTACTGTCTTCTTTTCAAAGATATGTACAATAAAGATCTTAGGATTCTTTGTTTAGAAAGATGTGTAAGTATGTCTGTCTGTTCCTGGAAAAACTGTGTAGAGGAAACTGAACAAGATAGCCAAAATAGCATCAGGAGTTAAGCCCTAGAGCATGTTTATTTTGCCCAAAGTGAAAAAGTTATGATGTGTGCCAGAACCAGCGGACCACTAGGATCTTAGTGTGACAGAACATCTGTGTAACTCTAGCCTACTTGAAGCAGTGGGACAAAGGACTAGTAACACTCTACGAGTAAACAAATACGTTTGACCTGTGACAGAAACGTCACGCAGTGTGTGGGAGGAGAATCTACCATACTACTGTACATGAGGAAATCTACTCCAACCACTCAACACTGATAAAACCACCGTTACTCAGATTAGCAGCAATTATGTCTGCATGTACACTACGAGCTAGGGATGTGTGATTCCCAACTTGTGTGCACATTCTCGTGATAGCTCTCACCAAGCTAGCACAAGTATAAACAGTCGTGCAGCTGCCATCACATGGGCAGTGGCAGCACCATGCTAGCTGCTCCAGTACAAAACTGCCTGAACCCCGGGGCATGTCATCAGGCCCACTGCCACTGCTACAGCAGCTACACGACTATTTTTGGCAAGCTTGCTCAGATGCGAGCTACCATCACAACCCTAAGCTCATAGTGTAGACGTCACCTACAGGACAAGCAGAAGGACAAAATGGGAAACCAATATCACGAACCAAAACAAAAAGCATTTAGAAGCCTTACCTGCATGATCCAGCACAGGGCTATTGGCACCCCAGGTTTGGTACAATGAAGCAAGGTCCCTTGGAATGTAGGTCTTAAAAAAAATGTCCAAACGTTTCTCATGCCCCTCTGATGCTGGTTCTTGTTTGATGGGGTGTAAAGCTGGAGAAGCTCCTGCTGTGCTAGGCTGAGGCTGCATTAGTGGACTTGCTCTTGCTCCTGTTGTGCAGTTTGCCAGTGTCCTCATCTCATTCCCAGCCTTGGTGTGAGATTCCCATTGAGGCACTGACAGATCTTCATGTTTATTGTACTGCTCAGTTTTACACAAAGGGTGATACTGAGGCGGCGGGTTGAATTTGGCTTTTATGGGGTCAGATGCACAATGCTTACTTGAAGGGGGAAAACCAGCACTTCCCTGGGGAATCATATACTTCTCCACCTGTTTACTGTTGGCAGGCTGTGAGGTGAGCCTTGATACGACTGTCTGAGTGGGTGTTAGGCTTCTGCTAAAGCTTCCCGCTTGCATCAGTTTAGCATTTACTTCATATTTAGCTTTAAGCTGAGGCTGTTGTACTGCTATGCTATGTTGCTCCTGGGTATGGTTTGATTTGGGCTGCCTGTACCCATCAAGACCTGATGACCGTGGACCGCAGTGGCCAAATGAATGGCTGTCCTTAGACTGATGTATACTACCAGGCTTTATAGTCATCCCAACAGGGGAAGAATTGCTTTTGGATCCTGGCAACGCACTTGGTACTTGAGTGCGTGTAAACCTGGCAACAGGCAAAGGTGGGCATTCTTTACCACCAAGGGAAGGAGGAGGACCAGTGCGTCCACTTCTTGCCAGAAAAACCAAGTTGTTTTTTATACTCTTGAATCCATTTTGTTGAATCCATGGTGGAGCCATCGAGTTACAGCTGACTTTGTGCCAAATTCTTTTGTGCATCCACAGGACTTCAGGGTAATAGGTCTTATGATTGCAGTAAGGACATGGGTGGACAATCAAATCAGCCTGCGAAGATGAGGTAAAGCCCTTATTGCATGAATCAGCCCTCGTTGATTTTTCACTTAAGTCTAGTGGAACCATTTCTTGTGCCTCTCTACCTTTTTCGAGAACAGGGTGCTCCTTGTGCAAGTCTGAGAAATTTTCTTTAGGGTGACTAGCCTGCTTTTCCAATGAGTTTTTCAAGTCTACTGCTGCATCTAAAGGTGTCTGGCCCACTCCTGAAGCAAAGTCAGCAGTGCTCCTGGAGCAAGGAAGCTCTTGGCTGGGTTGAAAAGCTGGCAACTTTAAGTCTGAAGAATTTCTCTGAGCTTCATACTTTGGAAAAGGCCGTTTGATATTATTTTCCAGGGTAGATACCAAAGTTGATAGCTCTGGTTTAGATTCATTGGCATCTTTTTCTCTGGCATTGTCACTTCCAAATTTAGAAAGCTCTTCTACCCGAGATGTTACCATTGGTGCCCCCTCTTCAGAAAAACTGCAGTGGTATGGCTTTTTACCTGAACAGGACAATCAAAAAACAAAATTACCAACTTATATCAAAACCAAGAAATCAAATTCAAGATTAAAATAAGATACACAGACAGAGAGAGAGAGAAGGGGAAAAGAGCAAACTTTAGGAAGTTACTCTGTTATTAGTGTCCTATAAACTAAATGTATTATAAAACCAAGAAAATCATTGTAATAAGACACAATAGCTCAATTTACCTTGAAAGCATCACTCTGAAGTTTGGATAAACTATCTAATGATGCATGTTCATGACATTTTAAAGGAAGAACAATTTGATAATCCAAACTTGTTAAAATTCAGAGAGTGAGAGAAAGATAAACAAATATGCAGCCATTTAATGCTTAACAAAAATAAAGATAATGGAGCCAGATAAGACCAAACTAGTTAAAGATCTGTCACTGTTTCCATTACAAGCCTCTATTTTCAAAGGGTTTATAACTCAGCCATAAAAATTGGCTCCACACTGAAACCTGGCATATAAAGGTCTCATATAAGTACTGCAGCACATATGGCATATACCATAAATCCTTCTCTGAACAGAGACCTTTGCAATACTCAGGTATAATAAGATGAGGTAAAGACAGTCTAAACACTGAATTTCCTGGTTTTGTTAGTTTAAAAGCAAATGCAACTTTATTTTAACAGTTTTATGTTTGTGTTCCATTTTAGGTATGCTTGTGACTGCTTAATTTGCTGATCGGTATGAATGCCTAACTAAAACAGAATTTTCTGTTTTCTCTTTTCTTTTTTCTGTCCTTCCTCCCAGTCTCAGACATGCAACGAAAGTAATATTTCATCTAAGATATAGTTCAGAAATGGAACATAAGTTGGTAGATTTTATAGAAGTTCAGGGAAAAAACAGTTCAATTTAGATTATTTAGAATGTTCCTAAACTCCAATAGTTCTCAAGATGCTTATCTTTAAGAGCTACTGATAAAGTCTTTGAATCCCTCCAAATCAGTTCACAATCAATTCCACAGAGGTTTTCATCACAGCAATAATGCTTACTTCACTGAATCCATTTAACATGTAACAGAATTGAGTCATCTGACAAACTTTCAGTTTCAATTAACATGGAGTTAATGAGCCACTGTTAGGCAAGTGTAAGGGGACCATGTTCCATCTAAAATGTCAACAATCCAAAGTGATCACCATAACTGGGGGAGTAGTGAAGATGGGGAATGAGTGAGCTGTTCTATAGTTGCATATCCTCTCACATCAACTCATAAAAGCCAATGTTTCAGAAAATCAAGCACTGTTGTTTAATATAACACTGGTGCCATAGGCATTATTCTAAACCTGCACAATGTAACAAGTATGTTTTAGGCTGAAGTTTCACTGCAAATAGAGTCTGTTTAGCCTCAGCTTTAATTCAGGCAAAAAGTCTTAAGCTTTTGTTAATTCAGTGTAATTAGGTTAAAAATAACCCATAGATCTGCAGTCTTATAAAGGTTGAATGCTCACTCTGTTAAGATCATTTTTCTTTCAAATTCTCAAAGGGATAAAGCATGAAAAATACTTGTTTTTCCTGTGTTACAGGGAGGAAGGCCTTCTGAAAGCACATGAACAACACACCCAGCTAAGTGTATAATTTGAAACAAAGACACTGCTGCAGGAACGAAATTTAACACTGCACATCTGTGTTATTTTCAAACCACATCTGTCAAATATCTATGCACTTAAACTAGATCTTAGGCTTCCAAATGGTGAGGTCCTTTGACCAACATGCTAAATAATAAATTAAAGTAAATAATAAAACATTCAATTGTAGCGATAATCAATAGAGACTGCACCAACCGAATGGCTAGGTTGAGCACAAAATACAGTAAGTAAGACAGACTGTGGAACTGGTGCTCAATGGGACTGTGGTGTTGGGAAACACTGGCTGCCCTGAATCTGAAATGGATTAGGATGCTAAATGGACACATGGGATAGAAGCCCATTACTACTGTGAAGGTCTGTGCTAGTCTGATACTTCTTGTACTTGATCTCACTTTGGCACAACTTGTACACCTGGTCATGCCAGCAAAGGATATTGAGTTGAACTAGCATTGCAGTAGTGATAGGCTCAATTTAGGATTGGGCTTGGGAAAGCACAAGGCCGCCTGAGAACAAGGGGAAAAGGTAGCTCTTCCAAACCACCTAACAACAAATGGTACAGACACAGGGATGGGAGCTCTGGAGTAGGCTATTGATCTTTCTATCCACACTCGTACAGCTTAGCTACCAGGGAAAGAGGACTGTGTGGGTGAGAAATGCAGCGCAGAATGAAGAAATACATTATATCATTTACACACTGATAGCTCGGTGGTTTGAGCATTGGCCTGCTAAACCCAGGGTTGTGAGTTCAATCCTTGAGGGGGCCATCTGGGATCTGGGGCAAAAATTAGGGATTGGTCCTGTTTTGAGCAGGGGGTTGGACTAGATGATCTCCTGAGGTCCCTTCCAACCCAGAGATTCTATGATTCTATAATGCACAGTTGTTAAGTCAGCACTTCGGGTGGGAAGTGTTCTTTGGCATACAATATGGTACACCAGGAGGTAAAGAGAAGACTCCAAGGGGCAGATCCTCAGCAGCTGTAAAGGGTCATAGCTCCACAGAAGTCAGTTGCTCCCATTTACACCACTGAAGAGCTTCTCCTAAACATTCCAATTATTCATATTTTCACTAAAAGAATCCCACTAACTCACAATATGTCTCTAAAATCTTGCAAACTAGGTCAGCTCAGCTGGACCCACAGTTCAGTGCTCACCAGCCTTTAAATTCAGCCCATTCAGAAGAAGGCACTTTGCTTGACATGAAAATTTCAGTACTCCAGGAAGCCACTCTTGCCATCAATCACTGGCAATCAGAGCAGGCCTGCTTATTCGGCATTGTCATGGGAGAGGCGATCAGGAAAGTGCACAGGCGAGGAGCAAAAAGACCACAAAAGGAGATACAGAAAAAGAAAGGGGGGGGTGTTTATAAGAGAGAGAACCAGAAAGGAGAAGTCTGATTATTTTTTAAGCCTGAAAATAAAGTATAACTATGAAAAATCCAGGACAAAGCTTATTTTTAGGACCCGAGTAACTGGCATATCACGTCACGTGGCTCATCTGATCCAGAACCCTTTCTCTGGCATTGACCGGTAAAAGCAGCTTAAGAAGAAGATGCAAAAAAAAAAACCAAAAAAAAACCAAAAAAAACCCCATAATGGACAATTACAGAATATTCTACCCATTGGTGAAATTTCTTCTTAATCCCAGACAGCTAGTGGTTGGTCTAATAAAACTGTGAATGTTATTATTCATATAACTGTCTAAATCTTTTTAAAATGCTGCTAAGCTCTTGGCCTCAATAATATGTTGTGGCAATGAGTTCCAGAGGTTTATTATGCACAGGTAAAACAAGGAATGCCAGCCCACACTGTTTTATGACGTATGATCCTTTGCAAGATGATTACAAAGCATAGTATGTAACTAGTCTTCGTAGCTTCTTTTTGGATACAATTTAACTGAGATTCCACACTGCATAAGGGATGTTCTCAATATGCAGAATGGATGGATACTTTAGGCAAAATACCAACAGCAATTATAACAGGTTGTCTCAGGAGCATTTCCATAAGCAAAAAACTATGCCATACATAGACAATGTTTTGCCACTATTCACATGTAGGTCCAAATGATACTTTGGGTCAGTGCGAAGCAAAACACAGCTGTGACATGGTTCTAATCCCCAGACTACTTCTCACTAGCTCTTCGGCTACTAATATTCAGATTAAACTGCAACCCTGCAAACACACGTAACCAATCAGAAGTGAGTCATGGCCTACTGTTCCTCTGTACATAGGTATATAGAAGACAGTATTTGATCTACTAACAGCTGTAAAACAAAAATTTAATATTTTTGCCTGCTCCCCAGCTCCCCACCCCAACTGAAACAGGGTACTAACTAGCTCCTTAAATCACTGGTATAAAATATTGCTCTAGTCAGTGCAATGCAGGCATAACTGTCACAAGAAATTTTTGAGATTTTATTACGGCCTGGTCAAAGCCAGAAGCCATGAATGGGATGCCTTTTGGATGATCCTGAGGGACTATAATTCACATTTGCCATAGAAACATTTCTTGGCATAGCAGTCCTTCATTTTCTTTTCTCCCTCCACCCACCTCTTTCTCATTTTTATCTTAAGTCGTTCTTTCTTAGTCAAACTTAAACTCTCTCATCTGCTGTACCTAAAAGGACTTTTTGCACTCCAAAGCATCACACCAGTGCTACAGTTTTGTCTGCCACTGTTAGCTGGCCAGCAACCGGAGTGGAAGGATTCTGTGTGGAGCAGCTGGTAGGTGGCTGCCGATATTATCTCACGCCCCCGGCTTAGGCTCAATTTTAAATATTGATGACATCATAGACCACAGGAGAGTAAACCAGGAATGCATGAAACACTTAACTTTATGGGAATCCAAGGTTAGGCAGTATAAGAACACTCTGGGATTAGACTGGTTCTCCAGGAATACATCATTTATAATTGCCACTGCCTGTGCTCCATTATGCATCCTACACAAGCAGATGGAGAAAACACACACACACAACACTTATTCTCGCCCCAGCTCTGCTCCCCACCAAACCAAACTTCAGAATGGGGTGCACATCTGTTTTAACTCCCAGGGCTTCTTGTAATTTGAGGAAAAGCCTCCAAAACCAAGCTAAAAATCTGAAGATAATGGAATCATGATCAATATGAAGCACGTGTTTATAAAGAACTGAACTAATAAGATAAATGTGACTGCTTCTTTGGACAGCATTTCAAAATTTGGGAATGAAGGAAAAGAAGTAAATGTAATGTATTTAGATTTTAGTAAAGCATCCGATTCAGAGTTTCACTTGGATATGAACACCATCACATAATTTGAAATTTGGCTGAAGACAAATGATAATGATAAAAGGCCAAGTATCTAGTTTTGAGAAGGTATCTAGATGTGATACTGTAGAAAGCTGTATGAGGTCCT